TAATGTATATTCTATCAGAACCTTAATATCACCAGTTGTACATGCTATATATATATATATGCTAACTTCATCTAACCGTATATATATGTATAACCATGTGTAACATAACGCACATACCCCCCCCGCGACACACCATGTATATATATATATAATATATATATATATATACACGTACATGCATACAAACAACCATACATACATACATACAAACAAACATACATACTGGGGGGGGCAGGCCTGCGCCCCCCAAAAAGGTGCGCCGATCCTCCATGGGGGGACCGGGGGGCTCAGGGGCGGCCTGAGACCGCTCCCAGAATGGTTCCAAACACGGCTTAGCCCGGGAAAACGACCTCAGAGAGGTTCCAGACGCCCAAGATGGCCCCCAGACGGCCCCAGAGGCCCCCAAGATCGTTCAAGAGAGCCCCCCAGAGGCTTCCAAAGGGAGCCCCCAGAGGCCAAAATCGCCCAACTCCCTTCGGAAGCGTCATTTTTATAATATACGACTTTTCGGCTTTCCGACGCTCCACGGCGGCCCCAAAAAAACCCAAGATCGCCCTCAAACGCTCCAAGAGGCTTCCAAGACGGCCCAAGAGGACCCCAAGACGGCCCCAAAGGCACCCAGAACGGCCCAAGAGAGCCCCAAGACGGTCCCCAAAACGGCCAGCGGGCCCCCAACGAGCCCGATGCATCCCGAGGACGCCCCTCAAAGCCCCAGAAGCGAACCCGAACGGCCTCAAAACGGCTCCCATGAGGACAACATACACTTCCTTTCCTCGTGTTGCTCACTTGGCCTATACCTGGCCTTCAAGACGCCCCAAGAGAGCTTCAAATTGCTCACCGAGAGAAGCCCCAGGGGCGAAAATCATTGATTTCCTTGTCGTTCTTCAAGGATGTTCGCGTGGTCGCCTGCTCCGCTGCCCAGCGCCCGGCCCCAAGACACCCCAAGAGGGCGCCAACACGGCCCAAGAGGCGCCTATCATCGCCTCAGGGCTCCAGGCGGCCCCCCGAAGGAGTTCAAACACGCCACAGGGGCCCCAAACGAAGCCGACAGGGCCCCCAAAACGATCCAGCACGCCCATCATTGCTCCGATGCGGGCGCAGGCAGCCTCCGATGCGCACCAGGAGAGCTTCAAGCTGATCCCCGAGAGGCTCCAGGGGCGAGAATCAGTGGCCTCTCTTTGGTTTTCAAGGATTTTCGTGCGGTCGCCTGATCCGCTGCTCGACGCGCGGAGACGGCGCAAGAGGCGCCCCAAACGGCCCCAAGACACCCCAAGAGGGCCCCAAGGCGGCCCACGAGGTGCCCCAAATCGCCCAAGGCGGGTCCAGGTGGTTCCCCAAATCAGCAATGTGTCCCGAAACGGCCCCAGCACGCCCACCATCGCTCCGATGCGGCCCACGAGGTATCCAAGACGACCCAGTACGACAAGAACCCCAGAGGCCCCCAAGATCGCCCAAGTTCCAACCTGAAGGATGCAATGGTATTTCGATGGGACAAACTGAGCTCGGGAAGCACCTAAGGATTTCCTCCTGCTGTTTTTTGAATGGTTTTGGCTATCCCAGATGGAACCCTGGCCTTGTCTTAGACGTCTTGGAAGCCTAGGTGGGTCTCTTTAGTCATCTTGGGGTCTTCCTTGGGGCTACGAGGTGCTTGCTGGGGCACTGTTGGGCCAGCTGGGCGGCCTTGGTGGCTTTTTCCTGCGCTGCCTTGGAGAGCCTTGGATAGCTTTGGAGAGCCCTAGGGACGCGTCGGACCTCCAGAGAGCCTGGGAAGGCAAGGGTCGGTGCAAGAGCCACCGCGTGAGAAGGGAGGGGGGGCTGTAGAAGAATGCCAGAGCACCCTGCCAGACAGCACTCGGTATTCTACTGGGCCTCGACGTACCCCGCAGGGCCGCCCACGGTCCAGTTCGATGCGATTCGATGCGCCGGCCGGGGCGAAGATTCCGATTCGATTCGATTCGGCTCGGTCCCCCCTGGATCGGCCAGGGCCGGTCGGAGCCAGGCGCGGCGATCCGGTTTCGACTCGACTGGGGGCGATTCGCTGGCGATCCGGTCCGTGTCCGACCCGATCTGATTTGGCGATTCGGTCCAGCGCAGGCATTCCAGGGGTAGCCGCGGTGGCGGGTTGCTGATCTATCCGAGGACTCCAGCGTGACCGGGGTGAACGTTGCCGAGCTCTTCGGCCGAATGCCTACGGTGCAGATCGCTCGTGCGGGTGCCTGCTGGGGAAGCTAGAGTGTGTGTGAGTGTGTGTGTATGTACATGTCGAGGACATGGAAAGCGACGAAGTTACTCCCCACGTGTCCGAGTAGTCTTGCTCCTCTGGGCAGCTGCTTCTGGGTCTCGCTTTTGTCGGTGCCTTTGTCTTTGCCAGTGGGTATTTTGTGGTACTTTCAACGTGCCCTCTAATTGCTGTCACTGTCGCTGTCGCCAGTGCCGTCGTATTTGTTATTGGGTGTCCCCCTCTACATTTCCCAACCATCCTGTGGTTTTGAGGAGACAGCGCCCCGCGTCTCTCCTCTCCTCTCCTCTCCTCTCCTCTCCTCTCCTCTCCTCTCCTCTCACTCTCCTCTTCTCCTCCTCTCCTCTCCTCTCCTCTCCTCTCCTCTCCTCTTCTCTCCTCCTCCTCCCCCTCCCTCCTCCTCCTCCTCCTCCTCCTCCTCCTCCTCCTCCCTCCTCCTCCCCCTCCTCCTCCTCCTCCCTCTCCTCCTCCTCCTCCTCTCCTCCTCCTCCTCCTCCTCCTCCTCCTCCTCCTCCTCCCTCTTCCCATTCGCCTCGTCATCGTCATCATCATCGTCATCATCGTCATCATCATCGCCATCGTCACGATCCACATTCTTATGATCATCACCATAGCCATCGTCAGCACCGCGCCCTTCATACGGTTCGTGGCACCACTGGGAGCTCCACCGAAGGCCAAAGTGGCAGCGGTTGCATGCGGCACCGCCGCCCCCCCCCCCCACACACACACTGGTTGGTGGGACACCCTAGCTCTGGAGTAGACCCACTTTATGAAATGGCTACTCAACATATGGAAACATATGCGGTGCCGCGTGTTAGTTTACCGCACCAAGCGGCAGCGTTGAAACATGATCAGTAGCAGCCCCAGCGGCACACCCGTGAAGAAGGTGCCCGTGAAAACGGCGCTGGGTGGAAAACGCGGTGCCCCCCCGCCCCCGCTGGGAAAACTCCCCAGAACGACAATCAACAGAAACCCGCAACGGCCTAAGCGCCGCAGTGGCCGGCACCCACGGAGCCCGTCCAACAACTACGCAGAGAGAGGACTTTTACGATGTTTCCACTCGTCACCGAGTCGTTGCCTCAATCCGCAGTGGTGCCGTAGGGGTGATCCTAGGGGCGACCGCCGCGACCCGTCGACCTTTGCGGTCCCTGCCGATGGCCACTCCAAAGAACCTGGCAGCGGCAGCGGGTGGCGGTGCGAAGTCATGCCTCTACCGTCGCGTCGATTGGCACTCTTATGATGCCGCTTTGTAAAGCCGCTCATTTGCGACAGGTCACTCTTACAGGTCATCAGAAGACGACGCATGGTGCCGCGTAGTGCCTACTAGGTTTGCCTCGGCCGCGGGAACGGCCGACCCGGTGACCCCGAGCAGCGTGTCCAGGGACAGCTGCAGGAGGGTATAGGCTTCGTCACCTGCACCGCCGCCCCATTTTGGCACACCCTTCACACGGTTCGTGGCCCCGTAGGGACCTCCACCGAAGGCCTCAGCGGGAGCGTCCGCATGGCACTGCTGCCCCATTTCGGCGCACCCCTCACACGGTTCTTGGCCCCATGCGGAGCTTCACCGAAGGCCCCAGCGGGAGCATCCGCATGGCACCGCCGCCTCATTTTGGCACACCCTTCACACAGTTCGTGGTTTCATAGGGAGTTCCACCGAACGCCCTAGCGGGAGCGTCCGCATGGCACCGCCGCCTCATTTTGGTGCACCCCTCACGGTTCGTGGCCCCATGGGGAGCTCCATCGAAGGCCCCAGCGGGAGCGTCCGAATGGCACCGCCGCCCCATTTCGGCACACCTCTCACACGGTTCGTGGCCCCATAGTGAGCTCCACCGAAGGCCCCAGCGGGAGCGTCCCGAAGGCCCCAGTGGGAAAGTTCGCATGGCACCGCCGCCCCATCTTGGCACACCCTTCACACGGGGTCGTGGCTGCTTTTAAGGAGCTCCACCGAAGGCCCCAGCGGGAGCGTCCGTATGGCACCGCCGCCCCATTTTGGCATACCTCTCACACGGTTCGTGGCCCCATAGTGACCTCCACGGAAGGCCCCAGCGGGAGCGTCCGCATGGCACCGCCGCCCCATTTGGCACACCCTTCACACCGTGCGTGGCCCCATAAGGAGTTCCACGGAAGGCCCCAGCGGGAGCGTCCGCACGGCACCGCCGCCCCATTTGGCACACCTCTCACACGGTTCGTGGCCCCATAGTGAGCTCCACCGAAGGCCCCAGCGGGAGCGTCCGCATGGCACCGCCGCCCCATTTCGGCACACCCCTCGCACGTTTCGTGGCCCCATAGGGAGCTCAACCGAAGGCCCCAGTGGGAAAGTTCGCATGGCACCGCCGCCCCATCTTGGCACACCCCTCACACGGTTCGTTTCGTGGCCCCATAGGGAGCTCCACCGAAGGCCCCAATGGCGACGTTCGCAGGAATCATCCCGACTCATGTTGGCACACCTTTCACACGTTTCGTGGCAGAAGGCTATCCCGCGTGCGCAACTCGGACTTTGCGCGCCCCCCTCCTTCGTCTCATCTCCCTCGCGGCACTCGCAGCTGCATATGGTTGGGTCCTTCGTCAGGCTGTTTTTTTCCCCGCGTTTGTGGTTGTCGCCTGATCCATCGTCGTACTGGTGCGGTGCTTGCATTCCTGCAGCGTGTGATGCCGCCGAGCCGCACGATGCCGTGTGACGCCGCCAACCATGGCGCTGCAGGTGCGGTTGGGCTGAGCCACAGCAGGCCGACGACGTGGCTCGCCCCACCCCCCCACCAGGCGTGCGGGCGCTCAGGGACGTCGCCTGGGAGCACCCGCAGAGGCACGCCAGGAGCCAGCTCCGCAGCGCCGGGCCCGAGCTGGAGGCCGGCAGCCCCCCGGGGCGGGGCGGCGCTCGCCGCCGGAGCGATCCTTGCCGTCCACTCGGGGGTTGCCCGAGAAGGTGCCCCTGGCCCTAGGCGCCCCCAGCTTGGTCGCTCCGCCTTCGAGCCCCCTGGGGCCCTCTGGGCCTCGCGAGGGGTCTGCTGGAGGCCTCCGCGGGGAATCCTGGGGGGCACCCTGGGCCAGGGGCGCTTCTGGCAGCACCCAGATCCGTGTCCACCGCTTGGGGGTGCGCCCTGGGATCTCGAGGGAGGGAAGCAGCACGAGGACCATGCCCATCCTTCTTCTCCTCCTTCTCCTCCTCCTCCTCCTCCTCCTCCTCTTCCTCACTCCTCGAGGAGGGGTCCTCCTCCTCCGCTTCCTCCTCGAGGAGGGCTCTCCTTCTCCTCGAGGAGGCCTCGTCCTGGAGCGGCCCTCCCTCCTCGAGGGAGAAGGTGGTCATTGCCGATGATGCTCCACGAGCTGGCCCCCCTGTGTTTTTTTCGGCTTCGGGTCGCCGCGGGGCGCTCAAAATTTTAACGGCCTCGGGTGGGCCTGTTGTTGGTAGGGATTCGTGCTGCCGCCGCCGCCGTGCCGCCGCGCCGAGCAGGTCGCCGTTCGTCGCCCTGGGACGGTCGCTGGCCTCTCGCCTCAGTGTTCAATTGAAGGTGCTGCCGACAAGAATCAAAGCGACACTTTGTCTCGCCTGGTGTGCTGACATGGGCCGGGGGCCAATTCGGGCGGTCTCGGGGACGATCGGTTCCGCTGTTTGTGAAGTCGACCGCTGCGCCGTCCGAGAGATATGATCTGGGTGTAAAGAACAGAGAACGGTGTTGTCTGGCCGCGCTAGGGGAGGGGGCGGCTGAGCGTGTTCTTGAAACGTTGTTGCCCGTCTGCCTCTCCGCGGCCCTTTTTTGGTTCCGTCCAAATTCGCTCAAGCTCCCTCCGCTCACTCCCCGCTTGGCTTGGCCTCGCCAAATGCACAATTCAAAGGGAGACGATCGGTTCCGCTGTTTGTGAAGTCAACCGCTGCACCGTCCGAGAGATATGATCTGGATGTAAAGAACAGAGAATCGTGTTGGCTGGCCGCGTTCGGCGAGGGGGCGGGCTCATCATCATCATCATCATCATCATCATCATCATCATCATCATCATCATCATCATCATCATCATCATCGTCGTCGTCATCGTCATCACCGTCAACATCATCAGCAGTAGCAGCGGCAGCATCATCAATCATCATCATTATCATCACCGCCACCATCATCATCATCATCATCATCATCATCATCATCATCATCATCATCATCATCATCATCATCATCATCATCATCATCGTCATCATCATCATCATCATCATCATCATCATTATCGTGATCATTGTCATTATCATCACCATTATCATTCTCATTATCGTTACCATTATCATTATCATTGTCATAACCATTATCATTCTCATTATCATTACCATTACCATTACCATTATCATTACCATTGACATTATCATTATCCTTATCATTATCCTTATCAATATCATTAGCATTATCATTATCCTTATCATTATCATTATCATTATCATCATCATTATCATTATCATTATCATTATCATTATCCTTATCATTATCATTGTCATTGCCATTGCCATTATCATTATCATTATCATTATTATTATCATTATCATTGTCATTCTCATTCTCATTATCATTATCATTATCATTATCATTACCATTATCATTATCATTGTCATTCTCATCCTCATTATCATTCTCATTACCATTACCATTATCATTCTCATTACCATTATCAGTGTCATTACCATCTTCATCCTTATCCTCATCCTCATCCCCATCCTCCTCCTCCTCCTCCTCCTTCTCCTCCTCCTCCTCCTCCTCATCGTCAACATCATCAACAACATCATCATCATCATCATCATCATCATCATCATCATCATCGTGCTGTCTGTTGTTCTTCGAGGCCGACGAACGAATCACCAGTGCGGACAAGTGTCCGGGCCTCGTGGGGGCCGTACGGTAGGTTCGTGCGGCGATGGCGCGCCGGCGACGCCATCGAAGGCGTTCAAGGTTGAGCTCCACATGATGGAACGACGCGGAAGCACGGAGGGACACGGTAACGCTATGGGATCTGGCGGAGCTCAACTTTGAACGATCGGGGCCGCGGTCGGTTCAAGGTTGAACGACCGACGAAGCTTTTTGGCCTGTTCGCCCCGCGGTCGGCCTCGATCGACGGTGTGTCGGCCACGCTCGCAGGACAGCCTGTCGAGCAGGCCTGCTGCACGCCTTCGTGGCGGCACTTCTGCATCATAGCCCGGCGTTTCGTCCTCCCTGCCCGTGGTGCGGGAGATGGCCGCCTGGACTGGCAGCGCATTGCCCCTGCCTTGCTTTGCCGCTGGGAAAAAATAAGGTTGAACGATCGACGACGTTTCGAAAGCCTCTCCGCGCGCCTACGCCGCGCGAGCCTGCCGTGCCTCCCGCAGCCCCCCCCGCGCGGGGCCGGCGGTCGCCTCCCTCAAGGCACCCTCGAGGCGGGGGCCCGTCTCGAGCGCGGCGCCCCCCGGGGCCGTCGTCGCTCCGAGGGAGCGGTGGATCCCGACGTTCTCCGCGCCGACGGCGCCGATGCATCGCGGGTGCATCGCCTATCCTTCCTGGTTTTAAGTCGGGCACGTCCCTCTACAGGAGGAACATGCAGAGCCAGTCCAAGATAGTCCGGGGATGACTTCTCTACTACTATTGACCATTTTGGGCCTTTTTCGATGATTTTCCATCTTTCCTCCAACATCCGCCTGCAGGAGGACATGCCCAACCTAGTCCTGGTTTCCATTTCCTGGCAGGCGTGTGCGGCCACAAGCACAAAGATGCAGCGTCAGGAGCTGCTCGGCGGGAGAGGGGGAAGGGTGGGGGTGTAGTGAAGGGGCATGGGATGGTGAAACCCTTGCAGGCGATGGGCGCACTGCACCACCAAGGGGAGGCGGAATCGTGCGCCCGTGCACCCTCTCTCGGGCGCGTCCCTGGCTCAGGCGATCGCAAACATGGATCAAGGGGGCGTGGTTTAGCGACGGGTCCCGTTTCCATGGGAAATCGCGGATTCCCGCCGCCAAACGGGGCGGCACCGGCCGCACTCTGGGGAGTGCACCTCCTCCGATCCACGGACTTGGCGACCGCGCGCCAACTCCACGGATCGCTGATCCGCGCTCGCGCGCCCCCGAGTGGCGAGGGTCGCACAGGCAGTCGAGACGCTGAAGCACTGGGACCGCTCTGGGCTCGGGAGGGGCTCGGGCTGGCGGGCCGCGCCTGGGACTCCGGCTCTCGTGGAGCCCGCTGGTGGCTCGGGCCCGCCGTGGCCAGAAACGCCCCTTCGTTCCCCCTCGTGCGTTCCCCTGAGGTAGCACGCCCGGAGGTGGCCAGACCTCCTACCCCGACACGCCGATTCGTGAGTTGGCCGTTCTCGGTTCGCGGGAGGGCGTTGCCGCCGTCAGTCATTTTTGCGGGTCCAGGTCCGTCGGTTTCGGTCTTGGGCCGTTTTCACAAAAGGGTTGTTTATTAAAGGGAGGCTTGTCCACCGCCGACACGATGACTGCACGGCCGTTTCCGGAAGTCCTGTCGTTTACTCCGGCGCTTCGGGGCGGGGGCCCGCCCCGAAGCGCGGCGCCCCCAGGCCATGGGCTCGCCGAGGGCGCTGACCGAGGAGGTGTCTGAGGAGGTGTCTGCGGATGTGGCCGAGGAGGGGACCGAGGTGACGCCGCACGCGAGCGACCTCTCGCTCGCCGAGATTGTGGCCCAGGATTGGCGTACACGCTGTCCTCTTCGTCGTCGTCCTCCAGCTGCCATCACAGCTCGAGGCATCCTTTCAGGCAGCATCCACGGGGTGCACAAAAATGGATCCGTCTGGCCTTGTGCCCAGCACCGCGCCAGACATATGCGGCCCGCTGTCCGATGACCCTCCGCGTGATCGGATTTCATCCGTTACACACATCGCGGTCGCGTACGGAAGATAACCTCGAAGGGCCTTGAACATTGCAGACCCCTCTCTCGTTTTTCTCGGCGGGGAAGAAGTTCCGCCCCTCCTCTTCCTACTGCTCCTCCTCCTCCTCCTCCTCCTCCTCCTCGTCTGCCGTTTCAGGGAATCGAATCTTGCCCAACCGGAAGGACTGCATAATCGCACCCGAGGTGCACCCCCCCACAACCACAGTCTTCGGGGGGCAGGGGGATGGCAGGGCTCGCCACCTAGCGAAACACGGGAAAGGGAAGCAGTGGGCCCACACGTCCGATACCTTGACGTGCATCGTCTCTTTGTTTTGGGGTAGATTTGTCAGGCACCGCAATTGATTTCGAGCTCTCGGGATCCGCACGTGTGTCGTCCGGCCAAAGAAGACGGCAAGGTATCCGACGCACCCATGCAAGGAAATGCCATATTGCCAGGATGGAGATGGGAATTTTGAGAGGCCTATCATCATCACCCCCGCCTGGACTAGAGCAGAGACCAGACGATCAGCATACATAATCTAAGAAAAGGTAACAGACTGGATCAATCTCAAGAACAGTTGAAGGAACACACGTTGACCATATGTGGTCCCAGAGAGAGCACCCCGCCAATCCCTGAGTCAGAGCACAATGGACATACTTCCAGTATCTTGGACGCAACGCCGTTTGATACAAAGGAGTTCGTTGAGGGTCGTTCAGAAGACATTTATTCTGAAGAGCTGATTGGCGCGATTCGCAATTCAGACAGCTTGGGCCAGTGTTTCACTCGATTCCATATGAGTTTCCATGTGGGTTGGGGTAGTATGCGTAGCGTTGCGCCCACGACGAATCATGTACTTTGGAAGTTGGCAGTGCTTTCTTTCTGCAGAATTTGTCAGCTTGGCAAAAACAGTGGCGCAGGGAAATGTTTTGAGCAGGGAGCAGTTGGACTTCTAATTCGGCAAACATAAGCGTATATCAGACAACTTTATATATATACATACATATATATAAAGCCATACAACGACGGGGTAAACTTGGCACGATGTTTTGGAGACCTGTGCAGAGCTTTCCATGCGATTCAAGAGGCCGAAGACAAGCTCATCACTTGCCCGTTTACAAACTTACTGGACCACGTCAATGAAATATTCACGGTTTGTGGATAATTGTAGGTTTCCGATATCATGCTACGGCTTGATCGCAAATACCCAAATATGGATGTGCACGCAACAATAGACCTATAGATGAAGGTCGGAGCTGATGGTTGCAATGGTATCCCGTTGACAACGGCTGCTTCAACGAAACACATATTTGCCACGCGTACGTGTTGTCGGCGCGTGTTTGGCGCGTCGCGTGGTGCTCGCAAGCTGGGGAACAACAAAAACAACAGTTCGTTCGCAAGGCCATCGCCTTCCGCGGCTTCCTCTTCCCGTGTCTCCCCTCCTTGGTCGGGGGCCTCGGCTGCTGGCTTGTCTGTCGCTGTTCCTCGGCGGTCCTCCTCTCCCGTTTTCCTCTTGGCCCCCCGGTTTCTCTGCCTCTCGGCCCCGCCTCGGGACTGCGGGTCCCGCGGCGAAAAAAGAGACCGCGCCTCGCGCAGTGGCTTTTGGGAGAGTGGCGCTGACTCCGTGGCGCGGGGGGGTGGGAGTGGTGGCAGAAGCTGCGCCTATGCCCCGTTCGCCCAGAATTCTACTGGTCTTCTAACCGGCGGGGTGCGCCGCCCTGAACGGTGGCCGCCCGCCTCCTGCAATCCCATTTTCCGCGTCTCTTGAGCAGGGTTCCCTGCTGGCGGGGTAGGCGGACCGCCCCCTTGCTGAGGGAGGGGCGCCATGCCCCAGGCAGCCCGCCGACCTGACCAGATACCGGGCTGACGTCCATGTTCTTCCCAATGGGCCCAGCTCGCTTTCAAGCAAGCCTGGGACAGGGGCCCCCAGCGGCCTTGTCCTTGTCCTCATCCTTATCATTGTCCTCCTCCTCCTTCTCCTCCTCGTAGTCGTCGTCGTCGTCGTCGTCGTCGTCGTCGTCGTCGTCGTCGTCGTCGTTGTTGCGCGGCAGGCGCTGCGGATAAATGTTGATGTTCCGCTATTGGGTGGGCCCCAGTCCTTCAATAAGGGCTTCGAAGCGGCAATTCGTTTCCAGTGTTGTGGGGGGCCAAACCATTGGAGGTCATTCTCGTAGCATGCCCAATCATTGACGTTACTTTCTTCGCGCGCACTCAGTCTTCACATCAGAAGAACGAACAATGTCATTCTCGATGGGTTCAGGGGCGATTGATACTCGAGGCTGAGGCAGCTAGGGGCCCCGCGTTTTCCGACCGGCAGGATGCACAGCGATTATACGCCATCCTTTTCGCGGCAACACATGCGACAGATGTTGGCCAGTCCAGAGGAGGTTTTGCAAGGGCAGTTTCAGCTCGCATTCAATTGGCCCCCCTCGACATCACGGCATTCGTCATGCACTTCCCCGTTCGGCCACGGTGTTCCTGCGAGACCACGAGTTATCGAAAATCCCGACGGAATGGCGCGACAACGTGCTGGCGGCCCTCCCGTATCGAGATGTTCCCACCCGCTGCGCTGGCCTCCACGATGGCCAAGATCTAAGCAGAGGTTTTGGCGGCGAATGAGCCAAGGTGGATACCAACGCGGTGGGGGAAATGCTATAGTACAGAAGGTCGACGAGATGTCTCTGGATAGCGACTTCAGACACTTTGCGAGCAGCGCAATGGGATGGCACCGATTGCTCGTGCTGCTGGCATTTAACCCGCCGTCGTTGGTGACGCCGGTGGGCAAACTTGCAATGACTTGATGTGCGCGGCCTTCGGCGTGAACGGTTTGGTTCGACAGTGCCATCCATTATACAGGCTTGTTGCGTCAATTCAGGCCTACCTGCGGCGACGGCCCAGGGATCGCGCGCCCATTTGCGTGGAGATGACGGATTGTGCACCGCGTGAGAAGCAAGAAAAGCCGACGTGGAATATGGCCGTGATGATGGAAGCCGCGCGGCAGGGAACGCACGTGACAGAATGTCTCCTAGTTGTTGACGCCCAGCTGCAGGCCGTCGAGGAGACGTGGCGACAGTTTCTCATTCGTGGGCGACCCGACGGGATTTCTGCATATTTGGAGAACATTTTCATTCCAGCGGCGCCGGATCGTCGAGAAAATGTCTTCAAGCAGTAGGTGCATATTCGATTCGAGCGCGTGGGCGCGGATGGCGCGACCGTCGAAGAGTGTGGGATCATGCTCTATCGGTTACCGCAGCAGTTCCGACTACAACGACGCCTGCTTCGCGGACAGCGGTTTGGCAGTTCATTCCAGGAGATCGATGACGCATGGAACAGAGGGGGGCTTGCAGAAGCCATGCGACTGACGCGACCTGCAGGTGCGTGTAGTTTCGGAGCGAAGAAGAGGCGCGGCCGCTGCTTGCGCGGCGGCGCCATCGCGGTGTAGAAGTGGAGAAGGCGTTTGGGCACTTCCACGTCATGGCGGCGGTGCGCGGGCCATGAAGCAGAATGTCGCAGAGCTCCCCTGCGTCGTCGTGGGCCCTCGGCCATGCTGCTCGAGCGCGGGCGACGCGGGCTGGCGCGGGGCGTTTTGTGGCGAGCCGGACAAATTTTAGACGGGCCAAGGATCGCAGGGCATTGCTTCCGCGCGCTACCCGCCAGAGCTCTGGCTGATGCGCCTCGGCCCCCACTTGAACGCAGCGAACGCTGGGCGCGGGGCCGGGCGGGGTTCCTCAGCATTCGATAAACACTTATGTGAGAAATTGTTGGAATCGGGGTTCGGCAGGTTCGATCGACCGATCGTGCGCCGACCGCGCGCCGATCGCTTGGCGTCGCAGTCGCGGAGTGCAGCTTCGGAATCCGCCTGCGCCGCGGTCGAAGGGGGGGCGCGCAGCGCGTGTGATGAGTGCCGCTGGCAAGGCTTTCCACCGTGGCACCTTGCATGCTTTCGCATTTTCTGGGCGCGGTTTCGCGCCGGACCAGCGGCGCGAGGCTGCGATATTAGTTTGCCAACTTCTTGGTGGCGCCTTGGCCGAGCAGGGTGTTGTGTCACGATGAATTACAAGGGCGTCGGCAATGCTTCCCCGTGCGTGATGTGGGCGGAGTAGGGTGAGGCGGCGGTCAAGGATCTCGCGCGCTTTGTGTCAGCGCCAAGCCAAGGGCCATTGAAAAGCCTTGCAACAGTGGGCAATCACCCCAATGATTACGACAGGTGCGGGCATCCGCATTTGCACCATGGACGTCCTAAGGAGTTAACCTCATGGAAAGACACCGACCGTGCCTGTTACCATATAGCGCGTAAGTCAACAAGCGGTGGAGCAGTAATGCGGGGATCGCACATGATAGAGTTTCGGAGTTCAACTCAGGCTGCCGTGGCGTCATCTTCGGGAGAAGAAGAGTATTTCGGAATTGTGAATGGCGGCTCAGTGGCGTTGGGGCTACATGCAATTCGTTGAAGACTTGGTTGTTGATTCTGGCATCGCATGGGACAGCGTTGCCAGCGCAGACGTTGCCGTTGCTAGGAACGTCAGATACATCGAAGTGTGTAAGCTTGGGGTACACTGGGGAGTGGGATCTCATGAGCACTTTGCATATGCTCCAGGTGCTCCTCTACGTACGTGATTTTCAAAACTACACATTCATAAGGTGCGAACTATTTTGCGTGACGTGGTGCTGTTTCAGACTTTCAAATGCTGTATCGTTTGTTAGGAAACCTCTCCGCGCTTTCGCCCAAGGCGCAGCCGCTTCTATTTTCATTAGTTATGGTTTTAATGTTTTTTGTTCCACACCTCGATTAGCTTGGATAGAGTCCTGGCTCTAGGTGCGTGTCTCCAGATCTCTCGTTGCCCATTTGCGTTTGCCGTTTTAACTTCACCCGTCTCCTTATTCGGTATATCGGCCGTGGGGTGTGTTAGACTGTAGCGTTCCGACTGGGTGGGCAGGGTCGGCTCGTGTGACGGGGCTATTTGCATAGCCGTTGTGTTATGCCGTGGGCGGGGGGGGGGGGGGGGGCATTTTGTTAATCGCTGTTTGGGCATATGTCCGTAAGTGTTACACTCAAATTATATATGCTTCCAAGGGCAGCGCTCTCTTATCGTATTTGCAGGAGGAGGAGGAAGACGACGACCGCGATGATGAGGAGGAGGACGACGAGGAACAGAAACACGATGAGGACAAACACGAGGAGGCGAACGAGAAAGAAAAGGAAGAGGAGGACAATGAGGACGATGTTAAAACCTTGTAAATCGTTTCTTGGAGCCCTCTTGGACTCTTGGGAGATCATAGGGGTCATCTGGGGCTCTTTTGGGGGTCTCGGGGCCCTGTTGAGGCCCTCCTGTGGCCCTCTTGGGGGTCCCTTGGGTCGCTTGAGGGCAACCTGGGGCCGTGTTGGAAACCGTCGATCGAAAAACGGGGGGGTCTTCGACTTGCCTTGCCACTTTGGGGCCATTCGAATCACCTTCTGGGGCGCTCTTGGGCTGCTCTTGGGCGCTATTGGGGGGCCTGTTGGGCCCGTCTAGGGGCTCTCGTGGGCCAGCTTGGGGCCATCTTGAGGCGAGACGACAACCATCATTGTATCCTATTTGGTTTTTTAAAGAGATTTTTGGCTTCTTGGACGGTCAGAGGGGGTTCCGAGAGCACTTGGAACCGTCTTGTTGCTTTGAGCTGCCTTGGGGGCCATTTTTGGACCATCGGAGGCAGTCTTGGAACCATCTTGAGCCATCAGGGGCGGCTTGACCGATCGATAACCCTCGAACGAAACCTCGGGAAGGGGAGAGGGAGGGCACCCTCCCCGAAGGGAAGCGGGTTCTGTGGAAGAGGCAAAAATGAGTTCGTTTCCCCAATTGTAGTCCCAAGGGCTGTTGGGGTTCCTGCTGATCCTCCTCCTCTTTGCTCCGCCGCCCGATTCCGCCAGCAGATCAAGCACCGGCCTGAGCTGAAGGAGTTGTTCGGGTAGTTCAGGGATTCCCGCGGGACCTCGCTTGTCCCCCCCCCGCAACCGCGTGCCGCTCCTCCTCCTTCCTTTCCCCTTTCCACCCTCCACTCCTCACTCGCGAGGGGGCGGGGCGCCGGCCGTTCGCACCCGCCCATGGCGACTGCCCGTCCCAGGCCCACTGCCGGGAATGGAAGCGTTCGTTTTGGGATTGTTTCTGGTCCCGTCTGGTGCAGACCCTAGCCCGCGTCTGCTCCGTCTCCAAATCCGCTCCACTTCGACTCGAGCTCGATTTGCGTTCGGCTCGAGCTCGGGCTAAGTCGATGGACGTTCGACGCATCATCGACGCATGAATGGAGCGAGTGGCTCCAATAAGGTCCCCACAACGAACATGTAATATGGGGTCGAACATCAAAAGCCATGGTGGGCTTCGTGCTCCTGGTTTTGTCTTGGTATTTTCCCTCGGATATCGGAGTTTTCCCAGGCACGCCTTCTTCAACCCGGCCTTTGGATCTTTCCGGGGAGGTCGACGGTGGGGTATCGGACATGTCTACTGGGGTTCACTTCGCAGCAAAGACCCGTAGATTCGGAACCCTGGGTTTTCAGGAGTGTGACATGCAGCATGTAGCTGCCTTTTTTTGTCGGAGTCACCCCGACACACTACTACTATGTGTGCGCGCCGATAAATCGGAAAGTGCAATCGCCCTGGCGGGCGCTTTCTGGCCATACCGCTCGGGAAGCGATGCACAATGAGGTGTCGATATCACATGTTCGGATCGGACGCACGCCTCCAAACAAAAACGCATAGCACTAGCATGCCCCTGTGCGTCTCATTCCGGGGAGTGACACCTCCCCTGTGGGGCATGATGCGGCCGGGGCATTGTCACTACAGTCGGTGACAGGTGTCGCAGGATATGCCCTCCAGGCTCGGTTGGGAAGGCGTGTGCGCCGATCGTAGGCCCACGCTGGGCATGGCCAGGGTCGGTTGGTATCCGGGGCCCCCGATTTCAACACCCACCAGACCAACAACCCAACCCGAAAGCCCCAATGTGTCCTACATTCCCAGTGTGTGTGTGTGGGGGGCGTCGGGCAACATTGAGAAAACACATGTGGAACCCGTGCCGCCCCCAACCCGAAATTTGGGTTTTTTGGTTAAGTTGGGGTGGTCTCGTAGGTGGTCGCAAACGTTGTGGTTACTACCGAGGGGTGGTTCAGTGAAGATTCGGTGTCACCGCACGGTTCCGGGGCTTTGCTCTTTCTCCGAGTACGTCTCGGGCGACTGTGGCTTCGGAAGTCCCAAAGCGGTGCGGCGACGGACCGTGCGGTGAGGTTTTCGAGCACGGTGAGCACCCCACAGTCCGTCACCGCACCGTCTCGGAACCACCAGGAGGAAGAGGAGGAAGAGGAGGAGGGAGGAGGAGGAGGAGGAGGAGGAGGAGGAGGAGGAGGAGGAGGAGGAGGAAGAGGAGAGGAGGTGGAGGCGGAGGCGGAGCGGAGGCGCAGGCGGAGGCGGAAGAGGAGGAGGAGAAGGAGCAGGAGGAGGAGGAGGAGGAGGAGGAGGAGGAGGAGGAGGAGGAGGAGGAGGAGGAGGAGGAGGGAGGAGGAGGAGGGCAGAGGGGAGGAAGGGGACGAAGGGAGGAAGAGGAACGGGAGGAGGAGGAGGAGGAGCAGGAGGAGGAGGAGGAGGAGGAGGAGGGAGGAGGAGGAGGAGGAGGAGGAGGAGGACCAGGAGGAAGAGGAAAAGGAGGACGAGGAGGAGGAGGAAGCGGAGGAGGAGGAGGAGAGGAGGAGGAGGAGGAGGAGGAGGAGGAGGAGGAGGAGGAGGAGGAGGAGGAGGAGGAGGAGGAGGAGGAGGAGGAGGAGGAGGGGAGGAGGAGGAGGAGGAGGAGGAGGAGGAGGAGGAGGAGGAGGCGGAGGAGAGGGAGGTGGAGGCGGAGGCGGAGGCGGAGGCGGAGGCGGAGGAGGAGGAGGAGGAGCAGGAGGAGGAGGAGGAGGAGGAGGAGGAGGCGGTTTCCTGCAGGAGGTCGCGGAAGAGAGCGTCTTGGACGTCTTTTTGGCCGAAGACCTGCCCCACAAGATGCTGAATTTGGTCCGGATGGGCGAATGGCGCGGGGAAGGAGTCGGGCTGGCCCAGGATTGGGAGAAGTGCTCTTGCCGGAAGATTTTTGGCCTTTGGGGCTCTCGCCAGGCCTCGGGACCGCCAAGAGGCGATTCGGCATGAAAATCTGGCCCTGGGGGAAGGGTCGGGACTTCTGGAGATCGCGCATCGTAACAGTCAAGACGTCGGATGTTCGGGCTAGAACCCGGATGAGTCGCTCCGGAGCGTTCTAGAACGCTCTCAGAGCGGCGTTCCGGAGGGCCTTTTTGAACTGCTGTGGAGCCCGAGACATCCTCCCAAACCGACGAATCATTTTTGACATCACCGATTTATCCTGGTCCGATTTCGTCCTGGTCCTGATTTCGTCTAAAGGATCACGAGCCGGTACTAAGCGAAGGAAGAGGGAGTAGGTTATGTGCGCAAAGTCAGAGCCTCAATTTAATCATAAACGTCGCGCGGATCTTAGCATAATCCACCGGTGATCGTTCCCGCAGTCCGGTGCTGCTGCTCAGTGCGTCGGCCATGCTCCTCTCACGTTTTTTTTTTTTTATCATCGTCCTCCGTCGGCAGCCAGCGTCATTCTTCTGTCTTGTTATTTGTCAGCACTCTCCCTCTGGCTGGGTGTTGGAGTCGACTGTTACGCGTGCGGGGCCCGCGCGCACTTGGGTGGCCACGCGAGCCCGAGCATCCGAGCCTCTGTGATTCAAGCCATTCTGGTTCAAGCCATTTTGGTTCAAGCCTTTCTGTGGTTCAAGCCATCGAGGGGCCAGCGCGGGGTCTAACGTCATCAGCTATTGGGGTCAGCACGTGGGAGTAGGGCGAGCAGTGGCAGCGGGCCGCGGCGTGGGTCAGCGACGTGCGGTGGACGCTGGAACCCGACGTCATCACCTAAGCGTGCGAGAAGGGCGCGCAGTGGCAACGTGCCCTGGCGCTGCTGTAAGGGATGCGGGATGCGAAGCTGGAGCCGGAAGTCCTCGGCTACGAAGCCAGGGGCCTCAACCAGTGTCCCCTCCCCCTCCCTCCCCCCTGTTTCTCCCTCCTCTTCCTCTCCTCCACTTCTCCCTCCCTCCCCCTTTCCACCCTCAGTTTTTTCGTTGTTATTTTCCTCTTCCGTCCTCTTCAGATTTCATCCTTTCGTTTTCCTCCCTCCCCCATTTCTCTTCTCTTCCTTCGTTCCTCTTCCTTCCCTCCTCCCCCTTTCCCTTTTCACGCTCCCCCTTGTCTTAGTCAGCAGTGCGTTCGGGTTTGAAGGGCCGTTTCCGGGCCAACATTCGGTATCGCGCTCGATCTGTTCAGTTTTGTGTTACGTTCTGCCTTGGGGCCTCCGAGGAAAAAACGCTCCCCCTTGTCCCTCCCACCTCGCCGGAGGGATGAGGAGTGGCGAAAGATGGGGGATGGGAAATGACGGGGTAATTAGAAACAGGGCACGCGGAGGAGTAAGAGGAGGACGAAGAGAGAAAGGGAGGAGGAGGAAGAGGAGGAAAAAGAGGAGGAGGAAGAGGAGGAGGCAGGAGGCAGGAGGAAGAGGAGGAGGAGGATATTAAGGATGTAGCTGGCACGTGCGAAGAAGACGAACCGTGGCAGGGGGCTCAGCGAGATTGGCAGGGCGAAGCTGGAGCCCGACGTTCCTACGGTGGGGGCGTTGGTTAAGGAATGCGCCCAGGAGGCGTGAGACCCTGGAGGATTCCTTATCTGATGAGGGCGGTGGCGATACCCATGGCCGATCCACAATTGGAGTTCCATTTTTTTTTCCACGTCGACCACGGCGGCTGGATGCCTCGACAACTTCGCATGGCCACTGCCCCCGGACATGGAGGAAAGCCGGGCTGCGTGGGCAGCCGACCACCAAAGAATACGGATACGCTATCAGGCACGTGGCAGGGACAGCGAAAGAGCACCCGAGACAATTATTGCCCAGGGGCCAGGCCGGAAATGTTACTTAAGACCGGGTTTTTCGAGACCTGCGGTCTGGCGAATGCGAAGAAAAAAAAACAATTGGAGTTCCACTGGCTTCCAGACCCTGGATTCCTTATCCAAGGTTTCCTTATCCAACGCCTCCACCGTAGCTAATGCGCTTCGACCAGCGCGTGCGAGAGAGGCGAGCAGTGGCAGCAGATCTTCTCAGCCTCCTCAAACTGATGATGAAGATGATGATGATGATGATCATGATGATGGTGGCGGTGGTGATGGTTATGATGAGGAGGATGATAATGACCAGTACGATGTAGCTGGCGCGTGTGGGGAAGGCGAGCGGTGGCTCAGGGCTCTGTCGCTGCTCAGCGAGATTGGCGGGGCGAAGCTGGAACCCGACGTCATCAGTTAAAGCGCTCCGGCCAGCGCGTGCGAGAGACGCGGGCAGTGGCACCGGGCTCTGGCGCTGCTCAGCGGGATGTGGGAGGCGAAACTGGAGCCCATCAGCTACGGAGCTGGGACTTCAGCCTGCTCCCCCTGCTCTCCCCTCCTCCCTCTTCCTCCTCCCCCCTCCTGCCCTCCTCCCTCTTCTCTCCCCCTTCCTCTAACACTCTAACACGCTCTGTTCTCTACTCCTCATCTTCCTCTTCCTCTCCTCTCTGATTGCCTCATTTCGTCATCCTCCCTTCCCATTTCCTCCTCGTGTCTGTCTCCTTCCCTCCTCCTTGCCCGTTCCCTCCTTCCTCCTCCCTCTCCCCCCCCCTACTCGCGTGAAGGTCTTTAGGGGCTTTAGGGGCTTTAGGGGCTTTAGGGGTTTTAGGGGCTTTAGGGGCTTTAGGGGCTTTAGGGGCTTTAGGTGTTTTACGGGCTTTAGGGGCTTTAGGGGCTTTAGGGTCTTTAGGGGCTTTAGGGGCTTTAGGGGCTTTAGGGGCTTTAGGGGCGAGGGGCGACGAAACGGAAATGAGGGGTGACGCGGCTAGTATGATGTGGCCAGCGCGTGCGAGAAGGCGAGCGGTGGCAGAGGGCGCTGTCACTGGACAGCGAGACATGCGGGGCACAGCCGGAGCCCGATGCCATCCGCTCGAGCGCCTCGACCAGCGCGAGCGAGAAAGGCGTCCTCTTTCATTGCATCATTGCCCTCCTGCGTCCTGCCTCCTGTCAGGTCCGCCTCCCCACTTCCTGCATTCATCTCGCCTGGATGCTTTCAGATGGTTTCGAGACTGCTTCGAATAGCCTCGGATGGCCTTTGAATGGTTTCGGATTGCCCCGTCACCAGTCGCAGCACTGGGACGAGATGAGTAATGGAGTATTCTTCCTCTTCTTCGTGTCCTAACCCTCTTTTGCCAACCCTCACCCCCCCCCGTGCTAGAGACCAGCTGAGCTTTCAAGGGTGGCGCGTCGTTCCGCGCGAACTCAGGAGGGAACGTGTGTATCAACATATGCTTCTACAAACATCCAGTTCGCTTCGTCCCCTCCCGCCCTCTCGCTGCGCCCTGCTCCCTCTCCCACTCTTTCATTTACATGTTCTTAGGGCTTCAAGCAACCGGTTGCTGACCGCGCACGGCCTCAGGCTGAACCCAGAACCCCCAGAACTTCCACGGGGCTGAACATCCCTTCTCCGACGGGCGATGTCCGCTGCCAGGGTGGGCGCGGCATTGCGGGCTTTTTTGGATTCGCCCGACGCTGCGCTGTGGCCGCGGACAGGGGGTTCTCAAACAAAAAACACAACACAAAGCCATTATCCATTGCACTTTCCGTGCGTGGCCGTGATCCTGCGTAGTGACCATACCCCCCTGTTTTCTCAGGACGGCGACGGCGGCTCGCAGTCTGCAGGGCGTCATGCAGGAGGAGGGCGCCCTCGATGCACCAGCCCCCGGTGGTCGCAGGGCGGTCCGGTTCACCCCGGCGGCCCGGCGCAAGCTCCAAATGAGGGTGTCGCACCAGAAGCGGGTGCGTGAGAAGCTGTCCGAGCGCTTGGAGGCTGACAGCGCAATCCTGTATTGCTTGCCATTACTGGGGGGACAAGGGGGCGGTCTATGGGGCAGGCCCTTAAGAGTCCGTAGTGGGGGGGCGGCCTTTGATGCGGGGGAGGCGGAGGGGCGGATGGCCGGCCCAGGCTGAGACCGGACCTCGAGCTGGCCGCCGCGTCAAGGACATGTGGATTCTGAGGGCAGGGCTTTCGCCGCCCAACATGCCCTTGCGCGACGTGGCGTCCTTCTGCTCTGACTTCACCGGCGTCGAGCAGCAGGCCATCGGCGCGGGCTCCGCCCGCAAGGCGAAGGACGCCTTCGCCGAGCTGCTCAAGATGATGAACCGCGACCACATCGGGAAGATGGCCCAGTCCACCTCCGAATGCACAGTGTACGTGTCGCACACGCATGACGAGGCTTCTATGAGGCGCCCGGTGCAAACGGCACGCTCGTATCGTGTGCGCGCATGTTTCCTCCTGGTGGGTGCTAATTAGCTGACATTGCATTGTGGCCCTCTGAGAGTCCTATCCTCCCTCCCTCCTCTGCGGCCGCCCCCTGCCCATCTGCCGCCCCAGAGCATTGCACGCAACTCGCGATGCTGTTGCCCAGCGTAGCCCCAACGCGCGCGCGGGGAGCTCCTTCCGCGCTGTGCCAACAAAAAAACGCACATGAGGGGCCGTGCGCGCGCGCGTGTGTCCGATGGCAGTGGCGCGCATTAGGGGCCGTTCGCGCGGGTGGCGTGTTCTGGCTGCCCCAGGCTGCGGTCCTACAACGCAGCCTGCGCGCCAGACGGCGTGGCCGCCGTTCCGCCCTCTCGGCGTCGGGCTCGCGGGCGTGCATCCAAAATCCAGAATAACTGCGTCACCGTGACGATCGGCGGCGCCGCGTCCCCGCTGTGCGTCGAGCTCCAGCCTCTGCAGAAGAAGGATGCTCCCAGCATTGCCTTCGCGCTGTGGCATTGGGTATTGGGAAATCCCTGCCCCCTGGCGTCTCCATCCTGGGGGGGGCCCACATGGGGCCACGAAGCGCGTGAGGGGTCCCTTCTGGGCCTTCAGAACACGCAAGGGCGCATGATTCCCGCACAGGCAAGTGATCGACATCATCTTGAAGGCGGCGCGGGAAAAGTTGGGCGAAGATGCAGATATCCACCTCGCACACTTGATCACGGGGGACGCCGTTGCCACCAATCTCGCAGCCTGCAAGATACTCTGGAGGACGTGGGGATACATCACTCTCCTCGTCTTCGTCCTCGTCGGGGGGCCCTCAGCCTCCATCCCCCTCCTCTCCCTCCCCTTATCCCCTTCCTCCGCCCCCTCCTCTCCCTCCCCTTATCCCCCTCCTCCCCCTCCTCCACCCCCCCGCCCCCATCCAGGCGCAGTCGAGGGTTCGTTTCCCCTTGCTTGCGCTTCCCGCCAGGAGGATGCAAGCCGCCCCCCGGGTCCACTACCGGATGCTGCTCTGGGTGTGCGCGACGCACCAAGTGAATTTATCCATTAAGTTTGCCATGAGCAACAATGATGGGGGCGACGAGATACAAGCCAACGCCGTCCGTTTGTACAAATATTTACACAGCAGCTATTTCGAGGAGTTCTCCTCAAACTTGCTTCGTCTGGTGTGCGACCGCGTGGAAGTGGCGCCAATGGACGTTGCCCGACGAGCTTTGCACATGGAGAAAGTGAGAGCTTTCATGACGCTGTATGGCCCCACGGCCGTGCCAGATAGCCTGGTCCTCCTGCTTAACAAATCTTTTGACAGTATGGTGCATTTCTCGGAGAACCCTGCCGCAGTCGACGTGCCCACTCTCCGCAGAGATGTATTTCTTCAGCTACAAAAATCGATCCTTTTAGTGGACGAACATCCAACCACAAGCCGCTTTTTCACGTTTACCGAATGCGTTCGCTCAATGCTCCTGTGCGTACTGTTCAACATACCGGAACATATCTGGACACTGTCCGTGACGAAGCCGATGAAAGACCAACAAAAACGCCTCCAACGCGTCAAAGCATTTTGGCGCAACAATCAAACGTCCGAGTCCCTGCGGGTGTCCGCGGTTTGCCTTCAACTCACAGACCATGCTATGAGGAAGGTTTCGAAGAATCCCACTGGGGACCCCATTTCGGTGGAGTTGTCTCGCGGCGACATACAGGCTGCTGCGGGCCGTTCTTTCGTCGAGATCTTGCCGTTCGTGCCGTATGACCCGTTGTTACCTCCGACGGCAGCCGTGACTGCGATGCTTGGTGCGTTGGGAAACATCGTAGCCCGCCTTTCCGTGTACGAGCAGTACCCCGCGGCTCTCTGGAAGTGTTCCAAACAATTCAACAGGGCGGGCTGGGCTAAAGAATGCGAGGGGTTCTTGGCAATTCCCGAACAATCATTGGACGTTGGATTCTCTCTTCAGCTTCAACGTCGGGCCCTGCGGACTGGCTCTGAGTCCGCGGCCGTAACCTTCCTGATGGGGCCTTCCACGCAGGCCGACATAGACGCCGTATTGACACTGGGCCACGCCACCACTTTGAACGCGGAGAGAAAGCATGTCCAAGACAAAAAGAGCGAAGCACCTCGATTGTCCACGGTGCCCGCAGCCAGCCGCAACGGCATTATTCGTCGGCATCTCAAGCACCGCCGAGAGCAGCAGATCGCGGCGTCGGAGGCCCGGCAGAGCGCGACGGGGGCGCACACGAACCCTCGGGCAGTTACTTTGAGTCGGCGTCCAGATTTCGTCACCGCGTCCGCCAAAGTGGCGAGGCCGCGTTTGGTCTATGACGAGCCAGGGATCCAGGCGTACATCGATGCCAACCGCGAGGACTTGGACCGAGTTGTGGCTGCGAAGCAGGCGGCGGCGAAGGCGGCGGCCAGGGCTGCGGCGTCGCATTCCACGGGTGGCACCCCTGGAACTAATGCACAATGGATGAAGTGGATTGAGGAGAACCGCCCAACCTTTTTGGATTTCTTCGATAACGCGTCTGCGAGGCGCCGTGCCCTCGCTGCCAGGCTCGTTCCCGACGGCGAATTCCCCGCAGCTCCGAGACTGCAGCCTGAGCGCGCCTCGCCCGACATTCCTTGGCAGGACCGCTTGTGGTGTCAGGCGCCCGGGTGGTTTTGCGTCCGAGCTGGAGAGGCGCGCCACATCTTCTTTCACATTGCCATCGGGCGGGATTCGTGGGTTTTGCCGATCTACGGCCATCGTGCCAAGAGGACCCTGCGGTTATCTGGTGCATTCCACAAGCAGTTCGTGCGGTTGCGTGATTTTTGCTTGAGGGACAGTGTCCCCGTGGATCCCGACACCATGGTTTACCACATCGATGTCCAATGCTCCAACTTCATTGTCGAATCTGTCAAAGTGTCCGTGACGAATTGGAAGCGCTTGGAAGTCGGGGGCCCTCCTGGTACAGCTGCTGCCAGCGGCTTTGATGAGGACGACGTGGACGAGGGCGAAGAGGCCGAGGGCGACGGGGGCGATGTCGCGGGCGGTTCTGACACTGATGAGTCCAGCGTTCTGTCCCTCGCGAGCGCCGCTGACACAGTGGAAGAGGATGGGGTGGCCGGCGCGGACGCTGTGGGGGCGCCCGAGGTTGCGGCGGCCGACGCCGAGGAGGCGGCACAGGACGAAGGGGGCGCTGCTCCGCGAGCCAAGACGGGGACTTGGAACGTGTGGCCACCGGAACGAAATACGTACTTCTACCTGACAGACAACCCTGCTTGGCCTGACGTGAAAGTGACCGCGCAGACCCGATGGACCAAAGGCGGGGGCCTAGCACCTGGCAGGTGGTCGCGGACAGGATGCTTTTTCATTTATGCCCGGGAAGATGGGGAGGAGGAGGAGGAGGAGGAGTAGGAAGAGGAGGAGGGGGAGAAGGGGGAGGAGCAGGGGGAGGAGGAGGACAAGGAGGTGGAGGAGGATTTCAATGCAACGCAGTGCATCTCCAAGTGACGCCGAGCACCTTCGGCGAGGAGAAGCCCCGGGTCCCGATCTCGTACGCCGTCTGCCGTGCCTGGGCCATCTGGCGTGCGAGGCAAGGGGCGTTCCTGGATCACTGCAGCGGGCGCCGGCGTTTTTTCGAGAACGAAGCGGAAGCTTCGGGCAACGGGGGTGGCGCTGGCTCGGGGGCGGGAGCGTGGACCCCAGATGGCCTCTTCATCGCTGTCCAGGTGTTGGGTTCACCACCGTGCCCAGGAACGTGCTGTTTCGTTGGCGGGGGCCCCGATGAATCGGCCATGGAAGGTCTTCGTCCCCACCATCAGCCAATGCCCCTCCTGTTGGCTCCCCTGAGGACGGTCTCCGGCTGGACCTGGCAGCATTGGGGCACGGGGGGCGCACGGGCTGTGTCGACGCCGACACATTGATCTCGGGGTGGCTGCCAGATGTGCTCCCGTAGGCGGTCGCAGTGGGCGCGCGTCGCCTCCGTTGTCGGCCGCTCCCCTCTCAAGCCGTGGCCGCCCAAGCCGTGGCGGCGTGTGCCTGCAGAGCGCCGCGCGTCGAGCCGGGCCCCGCACGCTCCAGGCAGCGCCTCTCGGGGGAGGGGGGCAGGGGACGGACGAGGACGCAGGAGGCGCACTGGGAGTTCACCAGGGCTCACCGAAAGCACAAAAAAGCACAAAAAAACACAAAAAAAGCACAAAAACAGCACAAAAACAGCACAAAAAACACAAAAAATGGGGATACGAGGAACACCGAAGGACGATTGCATAAGTTGTTATTCTGAGGTTTTTTTTTTTTTTTTTTTTTTTTTTTTTTTTTTTTTTTTTTTTTTGTGTGTGTGTGTTTTTTTTTGTGTTTTTTTGTGCTCTTTGTGCTTTCGATCCTCCCCCTCCTCCTGCTCCTCCTCCTCCTCTTTCCCCTCCGCCTCCTGCTCTCCCTCCCTCGCCGGAGGCAGCCGTGCCGCCGAAGGAGCCAGATGCCGTGCGCGTGCAGCAGCTTCTAGACGCCGGGGAGTTTACTGCGCCAGAGAGAGAGAAGGCCGAGACGAAATTGGGCAGGCGGGCGGATAATTTCGGCGGCACGCCCAGGGAGCAGGTCTTTCCCCCCTACCTCCTGTCCCCCATCCCTCTTTTTCGGAAGCCGCCATCTCCACCTCGGGCGCGAGCGCGCCCGAGGTCTTGAAGATCATGATGGCGTGCACGCGGCTGGGTCACAAGCGCTTGGGCGATTCTCAGCTCTCGAACCTGATCCCCAAGGTGAAGTTCTCGATAGTTGCGACGGTGAAGAAGACGTATTGGGTGTGCCCGACAGAGCTTCTCCCCAAGGAGGGAACGGGAAGGAGGGAGGAGAGAAACGAGGAGGAGGAGGAGGAGGAGGGGAAGTAGGAGGAGGAGGAGGAAGACAAGGGCCCGGGGGGGGGCCTTCAGCAGGATTTGCCGCCGGGCGTCGTGCGCCCACCCAGCATGTTCGTGCTCCCTGCGGGCTTCGACATCCAGAACTTCAGCATCGTGGACAAGAAAGTCGACAGGCCACTACAGAATTCGACACCAACCCCCGGTAGGTATGCGAATTCAGTGGTGGCCTGGCGATTGTCTTGTCCACCCAGGGGGGCTATGCCAATCGACACGGGCGAACTCGAATTGGCGATGAAGGAGACTATGGATTTCAGCTCGGCGGGCCCGAGCGCCAGCGGAGCGCTCGCGCTCGGCGATCGGGCGCCGCAGCAGGAGGTCGGCGGCGCGCCGAGCGCGCAGCAGCCACCGCCCACCGTCGAGCCGAAGGGCACCGACGAGCCCGCGGAGAAGCCGGCAACCAGAGAGCTGCAGAAGGTCGGCGGCGCGCGGCTAGGGGTGGCGCGAGTGGGGTGGCCTCTTGGACCCCCATTGCCTCCTGAGATGGCCGCCCCCCTCGCTACGCACCCTTGTGCGCGCCGCCGATGAGGAGGACTCCAGCGAACGGCCCCCGCCGAACCTCGAGAAGACCTTGAATGGCATGGCTCACACGCTGAAGGAGGCCGCGAAGGCAGGGCGCTTCTACGACCCGGACATTCGGGGGGGGCGCCTCTGCACTTATCGGGCACGTGGCTTCCGCTCGCGCGAATCCGTATCAGCATCCATGCCAACCTCCTACTTCCTCCCCCTGTCCCTCCCCGCCCCAAATCGTGGAGGACCCGATGTGCAAAGACACCGTGCATCACGTGTTGCAGCGGTTCGTGAACTTTGCGCTCTCCTCGGGGTGGAACCAGGGGGAGGAGCCAAAGGTGGCCATCAATTTCATGCGGTACCTCGTGAAGCGCCTGCGGAACACGGAGAGCCTCGATTATCTTTCTCACATGGTGAAGCCCATGGAGCAGCTGATGGGGAAGCTCCCCGCGCTGGTGCCCGAGACGGGCAAGGTGGTCATCCATTTGAGCAAGCTCAGTTTCCTGACCGAGACGCCCCTGAATTACGGCACGCTGGACTTGGACGAGCAGAACGAGTTCGATTCGGCACCCTTGTACAAGCAGTGGATGAGGAGGCGTTTTGATAAGAAGTTGGAGAAGGTTCGAAGGAGGAACATCGGCATGAACATAAACTGTCGGAGCTCCGCGCGGATGTCTTGGATCAGCGCTGGGCCCCCTGGGCGGCGCCTCCAGCGCCGCCCCAGGCTGATCCATGAAATCTGCGCGGAAATCCGGAAGGTCATGTTCGTGCCGAGTTTGCTCCTTCGATAGGTCCGCGGGGACGCGGGGAAGGACCCGAAGGAGAGGCGGGGTGAGTTGGCGGGCATGCAGAGCCAGTTCGACAAGATCGACGGCGAGGGCAAGATGACTGAGGAGGTGAAGGCCCAGTACAACTTCGGCATGAGCGTCTTGTCGCCGTCCATGTCGCTCGGTGGCCAGGTGGAGTACTTGCAGGGCTTGGGGGGGACGGGGTGGTCCATGCTGGAGACGTGGTGGCCGAAGAGCCCGGCGACGAAGTTCGCGAAGCTCGTGCCCGGGGCCGAAACCTCAGTGGAGGACGTCGTGGCCGCCGCGTCGTCGGTGCCGCCGAGCGACCTCGCCCAGGCTGCCTCCCACTTGAACCCCGTGGTCGTGAGGCTGTGCGAGATGTGGCACCCCCTGACGGAGGCCGTGGCGGACAAGCCCGCGCGGGACCGGCTCTTCCGCGAGACCGTCTCGTGCCACCGAGGGGAGGGTAGTAGTAAGAGTAGTGGTGGTAGTAGTCGTAGTCGTAGTCGTAGTCGTAGTAGTGGTAGTAGTAGTAGTAGTAGTAGTAGTAGCTGCAGTAGTAGTAGTAGTAGTAGTAGTAGTAGTAGTAGTAGTAGTAGTAGTAGTTGTAGTAGTAGTAGTGGTAGTTGAAGGGGTCGTAGTGTCAGGAATAATTGTAGTAGTGTTAGGCATATCAGGAGGAATAGTATTAGGAAGAGGCGTTGGTTTTCGTCCGGAATTCAACGGTCTTGGCGGAGGACAAAAAGGTGGTAGCGTTGAATTCCGGACGAAAAAAAAAAACAAAAAGTGTCAGGAAGAGGCGTATTAGTTGTAGTAGGTGCAAGCTCAAGGGGGCCGATTCGTGCGAGAACACGGGCGCCGAGGTGCCGCAGGACGGGGTCATCGAGAAAGCGGGCGGTGTCCTCTGGCCTCCCTGGAGGAGCAGGGACGTCACGGCCGCGCCCCCTCTCACGAAGAAGTGCTTGGAGTTAGAGCGCGCGCGCCTGGAGACCAAGAAAAAGGGGAAGGAGGAGAAAGAGGAGAAGGACAAAGCGGGAAAGGCCCAGGCCGACAAGGGGAAGGCCGACAGCCCGGCTGGCGAGGGCAAGAAGAGGGCCGCCGAGGAGGGCCAGGCAGGGCCCGACCCGAAGAAGGCGAAGACCGAGGGCCAGACTGACCCGCTCGACTGGCTCAAGCCGGGCGTCGAGGTGATCTGCAGTTGCAAGCTCACGAAGGACAAGTCGAAGTACGAGGGCAAAAATGGGCAGGTCGTCTCGCTGGTGAAGGCGAACACGGCCTGCAGCGTGAAGCTCCTGGAGGGTTCGGAGGAGCTCGTTGGGGCGAAGTGGGCAGTAATTACAGTCTAAACTCATAGTAAGGACGAACGACTTTCCAAGGGTGCCCTTGCGTCCTTAAATTTTGCCTTGCGTCCTTAGGTTTTGTATCGTAGGAATCCGTCCAGAATACTTCAACTTCGGCCTCCAAGGGTCTTGCGTCCTTACCGCGCGCCCTGACTATGAGTTTTGACTGTAGCGGAGAGGGGGGCGCCAGAGGGGGGAAGCTTGCTTTCCCCCCCCTGGCGCCCCCCCACCCGCCAGTTGGGTTTATGAAGCTATTCGGCCCCCAGGCTAACAAGAGGCACGTTTTCGTGCTCAGTCAGCTGTCGCCAGTACCAGGTGCCGCCTCCAGCGGGAACGCCGCCGCGGACAGCGGCGGTGCCGCGCCGCCTGAGAAGGACGATCTCTTCTCCGATCCAGAGCTGGAGAAGGAGAGGTGAGCGGCGCGGCTTCTCCCCTCCCAGTCCTCCCTCCCAGAGCCCCCCCCCAGAACCCCCTCCCAGTCCTCCCTCCCAGTCCTCCCTGCCAGTCCCCCCTCCCAGTCCGAACCCTCCCCCGGGCAGGATCCGTCCGCCGCAGGCCCGAGGTCGGGCGGGAGCGGCGGCTGTGTTCGGGCGGGAGGGGCGGCCTGCCCAATTTCAAGAGAAGCTACAATAAGACTGGCCCCGTCACGGCTTAGGGGCCAGCAGTCGCGAGACTTTCGATGGCGAGCGGCGGCGACACCGGCATCAGCTAGGACAGGTGACAAAACAAATATCAAGACGCCTGCGGCGAAACCCGCCCCGGGCCCCCTGCCTTTTGGACGCGCCGATGAGGAGCCACGGTGTGAGGGTCGTGGTTGGGCCTGCTTGCCTATGGAAGACTCCTGTGGCGAATCCCACAATGCCCCCCCCTGCCTTTTGGAAACGCCGATGTGGAGCCGCGGTGTGAAGGTCGTGCCGAAAAGGGTTTATGAAAGAACAATGTGCCCCATGTGTTTTGGAAACGCCGATGTGGAGCCACGGTGTGAAGTACGTGCCGAAATGGACTATCAAATGTCATGGTCGTGGAAACGCCGATGTGAAGCCGCGGCGTGCAGGACAGAAGCAAACATAGGCGACCGTTTAGATTGCCACGCGGACTTCTTGTATAGCAACACAGCTCACTGCAAAGGAGCAATCCCACCAAGTGGGATAACTGAGGCTTGCGAATCGGGTGCGATTTATTTGCCCTGAAGGCATCAGGAGGCCTTCGGATTGTAGGTTGCTGCACTGTTTGATTTGTGGACCCCCAACTGTTTGTCCGACAGACGCCCCTTGCATTGGCATCCCAGAGCAATTTATGTTCTCGGTTGGTGGTGGTGGTAAGACTCTGACCTTTGGCCACTGAGCTTGCGCTGTCAGCAGACCTATGGCAACAAAGTGTGGCCCGCTTCTATTGGCCTGGTTCCGCTGCACTGTTTGATTTGTTGTGGACCCCCACCGGTTTGTCCGACAGACGTCCCTTGCACTGGCATCCCAGAGCAATTTATGTTCTCGGCTGGTGGTGGTAAGATTGTGACATTTGGCCAATGAGCTTGCACTTGCAGCAGACCTATGGCAACAAAGTGTGGCCCTTTTCTCTGGTTCAAGCCAGTCTGGCTCAAGCCTGGCTCAAGTCTGGCTCAAGCCAAGTGTGGTTCGAGCCATCGTGATTCAAGCCATCGAGAGTGCCAGCATGGGGCCCAACGTTATCAGCTACGGAAGGGGCCATCGTGATTCAAGCCATCGAGGAGGCTGGGGTCACGACGTGGGAGTGGGGTGAGCTGTGGCAGCGTGCCGTGGCGAGCTGTGGCCTCGGGCTGTGGCGCTGGGGGCCCAACGTTATCAGCTACGGAGGGGGCCATCGTGATTCAAGCCATCGAAGGGGCTGGGGTCACGACGTGGGACTGGGGCGAGCAGTGGCAGCGTTCCGTGGCGAGCTGCGGCCTCGGGCTGCGGCGCTGCTCAGCAGGATGTGGGAGGCGAAGCTGGAGCCCGACGTCATCACTACAGCTCTGGGAGATCCGAACTCCTCCCTCCCCCCCTTTCTCCCTCTTGTTCCTCCTCGCCTCCTCCCCTCCTCCCCTTCCTCCCTCCCTTCCTTATGACGTTCTCGAAAGTGGGCTCGAAAGGCAATTCTTTTTTTTTGGGGGGGCCTTCGAGCCCACTTCTGTGGCCGGCCCCCGAGAAGGGGGCGCCGGGGGTTCGGCGGAGGCGTGTTGTTTGAACCTGGTCTCGTGGCCTTCCAGGGCTTTGCTTCCCAAGGTCCCTTGGAAACTGGCCCGGCCTGCCAAGGGTAACTGCGGAACTCGTTCTTGTAGGACATAGAGGACATAGAGGCGGAGGCGGAGGCCGAGGAGGAGGAGGAGGAGGAGGAGGAGTCGATGTTAACAAATCGTACCCGCCCCCCCCGTTGGATACCCCTCACTGCTCAGCAAGATGGGCGGGGCGACGCTGGAGCCCGATGTCATCCGCTGGAGCGCCTCGACCAGCGCGTGCGAGAAACGCGAGCTGCGGCACTGCGCTCTGGCGCTGCTCAGCGGGATGTGGGGGGGCGAAGCTGGAGCCCGATGTCCTCAGCTACAGTCCCGAGACCTCGTCCGCCTCATTCCCCTCCTCCCTGTTCCTGCTCCCTCTTCCTCCTCCCTCCTCCCTCTCCCCCCCTCTCCCTCACTTCCCTATCGCCCTCCGTTCTCTGTTGTTCATATTCCTCCTCCATCCTCCTCTGATTTCCTCCTTTCGTTGGCAGGGACAGCGAAAGAGCACCCGAGACAATTATTGCCCAGGGGCCAGGCCGGAAATGTTACTTAAGACCGGGTTTTTCGAGACCTGCGGTCTGGCGAATGCGAAGAAAAAAAAAACAATTGGAGTTCCACTGGTTTCCAGACCCTGGATTCCTTATCCAAGGTTTCCTTATCCAATGCCTCCACCGTAGCTAATGCGCTTCGACCAGCGCGTGCGAGAGAGGCGAGCAGTGGCAGCAGGTTGTGGCACTTGGACGCGGGAGGCGAAGCTGGAGCCCGATGTCATCAGCTACAACAATGGGATATTCTCAGCCTCCTCAAACTGATGATGAAGATGATGATGATGATGATCATGATGATGGCGGCGGTGGTGATGGTGATGATGAGGAGGATGATAATGACCAGTACGATGTAGCTGGCGCGTGTGGGGAAGGCGAGCGGTGGCACAGGGCTCTGTCACTGCTCAGAGAAATTGGCGGGGCGAAGCTGGAGCCCGACGTCATCAGTTAAAGCGCTCCGGCCAGCGCGTGCGAGAGACGCGGGCCGTGGCGCCGGGCTCTGGCGCTGCTCAGCGGGATGTGGGAGGCGAAACTGGAGCCCATCAGCTACGGCGCTGGGACTTCAGCCTGCTCCCCCTGCTCCTCCCTCCTCCCTCTCCCCCCCCACTCGCGTGAAGGTCTTCAGGGGCTTTAGGGGCTTTAGGGGCTTTAGGGGCTTTAGGGGCTTTAGGGGCTTTAGGGGCTTTAGGGGCTTTAGGGTCTTTAGGGGCCTTAGGGGCTTTAGGGGCCTTAGGGGCTTTAGGGGCTTTAGGGGCTTTAGGGGCTTTAGGGGTTTTAGGGGCTTTAGGGGCTTTAGGGGCTTTATGGGGCTTTAGGGGCTTTAGGGGCTTTAGGGGCTTTAGGGGCTTTAGGGGCTTTAGGGTCTTTAGGGGCCTTAGGGTTTTTAGGGGCTTTAGGGGCTTTAGGGGCTTTCGGGGCTTTAGGGGCTTTCGGGGCTTTAGGGGCTTTAGGAGCTTCAGGGGCTTTAGGGGCTTTAGGGGCGAGGAGCGACGAAACGGAAATGAGGGGTCACGGGGTAGCAGGAGGAGGATGGGGGGAGGGGAGGAGGAGGAGGAGGAGCAGGTGGAGACAGGAGGAGGAAGAGGGAGAGTCGAATGAAGCCAGCGCGTCAGGAGAAGGCGAGCGGTGGCAGAGGGCGGGACCGGGCTCTGGCGCTGCTCAGCGGGATGTGGGAGGCGAAGCTGGAGCCCATCAGCTACAGCGCTGGGACGTCAGCCTGCTCCCCCTGCTCCCCCCTCCTCGCTCTTCCTCCCCCTTCCCCCTCCTAACACGCTGCTTTCTCCTCCCTATCTTCCTCGTCCTCCCTCCTCTGATGTTCATCCTTTCGTCATCCTCCCTCCCCTTTCCTCCTCGTGTCTGGCTCCTTCCCTCCTCATTCCCTCCTCCTTCCCTCCTCTTTCCTCTTCCCCTCTCCCCTTCCCTCCTCCCTCCTCCCTCCTCCTTCGCCTTCCCCCCACCTCGCTCGCGCAAGGCGGGAGCAGGGGCGAGGAGCGACGAAAGGGAAATAAGGGGAGACGGGGTAGCAGGAGGAGGAGGAGGAGGAGGCGGAACAGGAGCAGGAGGAGGAGGAGGCATACTATGATGAACATGAGGAAGAGATGGATGTAGCCGGCGCATGTGGAGAAGGCGAGCGGTGGCAGAGGGCTCTGTCACTGCTCAGCGAGATTGGCGGGGCGACGTTGGAGCCCGACGTCATGCGCTAGGGCGCTTCGACCAGCGCGTGCGAGAAAGGCGATCTGTGGCACCGGGCTCTGGCGCTGCTCAGCGGGATGCGGGAGGCTCAGCTGGGGCTGATGATGGTCGTCAGTTGACAGTGCGCGAAAACATTGTTTCCATTGCTTCGCTCACTCCGCCGGCCCATGCGGCTATCTAGTGGCCTTTCGCCGATTGCGCAGCCGTGCCGAGGTCACGGACAAGAAATCTACGTACGCGGGAGGCTTCTGAGGGTCTGTTGGGGTGCCTCTCGTGGGCCACTTCGGGGCTTTTGGGGGGCCTCTTGGGAGGGTCGTGGGGTCGTTGGTGCTCCTGGGGGGCCTGCTGGCGGTCTCGGGGCTCAGCTTTAGGGGAAGGGCTCGAAAAGTGTCGGTTCGGGATCCTCTTAAAAGCCCCTGATGGCGCCCTCCTGGGGCATGCTGGCCCTGTGTTTTCCCGACGGCCGCAGGTTGGACGGGCCGCATAGGGCACTTACTGGAACACACAAAGCCGCGGACGCAGCACCAAAAGCACAAAAAAACACAAAAATGATTAAATTAAGGCTCTGACTTTGCACACATAAAGTAGGAGGGGCGGAGAGGAGGGGACAGGTTGCAGGGGAGATAGTGGAGGGAGAGGGGGGGGAAGGGGAGGGGGAGGGTGGAGGGGGAGGAAGGAGCTGTAGGAGGAGTCGAAGGAGGACGGGCGCTTCAGGCGGTTGAGCAGAGCCAGGCATCGTGCTCTCTAGCAATTGTTCGCAGGCCGAGGGTGGCTTGCGAGGCGCCTCGGCGACAGACCTGCTTGTTCTCTGCTCGACTGACCAGTGAGTTGAGCAGGGTCCGTTTTGTTCCAACAGTCTTCAGGGTCTCTTCTCGGTGGAGGGCGATGGAGGCTAAACTGGGCAGCGCCGAGCTTGTTCAAACCTTCTCGCCCAGGCCGTTCCTGCTACGGGGAAGGAGCGGGTCGTATGAGGCAACATTCGGATATGGACATGTCTTTGCGACCTTAACATGCGGCGAGGAAGGTAATCTGGAGGAGCCACAACGAGGGAACACTTGATGTCTGCTGCTCCAGGGGGAACAAGCGCGCAGCGCTTTGGCGAACATGGCCCTATTTGGCCGAAGACGAGAACTGTGGATACGTAGGCCAATGATGGCAAGTATTTCCAGCAGGCGCGGGCTCAGCTTGCAGGGTCGTCTGCGCCGACACTCGCGCGTACGTTACCCGCGTAAGGTCGCGCGTACACCCTCTCTTTTGCAACGTAGAGTGCCTTGCTGGCGGCCCGCGTAAACCACTGCGTAAGGTCGCTACGGCATCTTGCGGGATACCCATTTTTGATATTCGCTCACGCGATCTCAACGTAAAAGGTGGAGCAGTGAGTGTTACTTGCGGGAGAGGGTTGGCTCAGGTGCAGGAGGAACACGCGTGCTCCTGCCCTTGGAGGATGCGTGCGTCGGGGGCGCGCCCGGGGGGAATGCAGGGGCCAGCCTTCTTTGAAGGCGGCGGGGCCTCTCAGAAGCAACCTGGCCTTACAAGAGGCCTCGTGAGCCTTCTCCGATGCCACACGCTGCTGCTCAAGAAGGCACGAGGGCTTCTGAGAAACCCCGGCTACCTCTGAGAATGGTCGGCCCGCTCTGCCTTCCCCCGAGCGCGCGCCGAGTTTGGCTGTTGCCCTTTGCATCCTGTCTGCTTGTCCCTCATCCTTCATGTGCTCGGGGGGGTGGCATAAAGTTGTGCCAGAATCAAGAACCTGGAACCTGCCCGCTCGTCCTGCTCGCCAGAACCAGTGCGGGGCCATCTCAGACCACCAGCCGGCCCCAAGGTCATGCCCCCCCCAGAATCCAGCAACGATTCCGGGAGCAACATCCTCCTGCATCGTCCTGCACAGCCTCGCTGCTGGCATGATCCCGAAGCCAAACACCAGGTGGCGCAGCAGCGGAAGTGGCTTGGAAGGTGCGCCGACCCGACGAGCCGCAACCGACCACGGCCAGGGCCTGGGCTGTCGCTGCACATGCTGTTCCTCCAGAGGCTGAGTGACGTCACTGCAGCGTGAGCTAGAACGGGGCGCGTCCAGCGGCAATTCCACCCCAGCATTTTCAACAACACCTAAGGTGATGGGCGTGTTTTCCACCACCACCACCATAAGTTGGAGGGGGAAGGAGGAGGAGGACGAGGAGGAAAAGGAGGACGAAGAGGAGGAGGAGGAGGAGGAGGAGGAGGAGGAGGAGGAGGAGGAGGACCCCCTCCCCCTCCAACTTGTGGTGGTGGTGGTGGTGGAAAGCAGGCCCATCATAAGGTCTAGGTCACCCACAGTGGCGCGAAGATGATCGCGCTTCGCACTTTGCGGCCTGGGCCAGAGCGGCTGCCCTTCTCTAGGGGGGCGGCGCGAGGGCGCCAGGGCGCGAAGATGACTGCCGCGCGTCGCGCGCTGCGGGGAGCGACGTGCGTGGGGCTGGGTGACCCTCGAGAGTGAGCGTGGCGAGGTGCTGACTTCAGGGTGGGGGGGCTCTCCTCGCGAGGCCCTCGAGATCATCGTGAGGACCCTCGGCGGCCTGATCGTCGGAACCGTGTATCCCTCCGCCTTCGCGGGAGCCCGCGGCCCTCGCCGGACATGTCGTCTTCTCTTGAGGCTTGGCCGGGTTCGTGAAGGTTGGCTCTTCCAGAAGTCAGGCGATCGCAAACATGGATCAAGGGGGCGTGGATTAGCGACGGGTCCCGTTTCCACGGGGAATCGCGGATTTCCGCCGCCGAACGAGGCGGCACCGGCCGCATTGCCAAATCCATGGATCGCTAGTCCATGCTTGCGCGCCCCCGAAGAAGGTCGCGGAACGTTGGGGAGGGCAGGGCCTCGCTCGAGGTCGTCGGACAGGAGCAGTCGGCGCTGCACGCTTGGGGCTTTCTTTGACGGGGCTAGTGGGGCTTCGTCTGGGAGATGCTGAGGGGTTTGTGCTTCCATGCCCTCCGGCAGACGGCCTCCCCGTCCTCGCCCCAGACACCAGGTGCTGGGCCACTCGCCAGTATCACGATGTCAGGGGCAACGTTAGGGGGGGGGGGCGGGCTCGGGTGTGGATGCATCGACCCCCGATCGCCCATTCACCACTGACATGGGCCCGATGGCCCAAGCCGCCCAGGAACGGCCGGATCTGCAATCGGGAGCCTCTCGCCGATCTGTCGGCGACGTGCCGCCGACTCCAGGTCGATGCTTACCCCCCCTGAGCAAGTCCGCCCCCCAACGATCTCTCCCACAATGGCTACGCACATTCGCACTCATCTGGTCTGTGATCCTCAGGACGTATACAAGCCCAAGCGTGTGTTCACCCCGTTCGGCTCCGCCGCTGGCGCGCCGTCTGTGTCCGCCCTCGCTGAGCCGCCTGCGCTGTGTCCGACAAGCACACGTTGGCGCGAACTCACGTGTTGAGGGTCAGCGATCTGAGCAGTCGCTCGCCACTGCCTACTGGGCAGGCCTGACGGCTGGTGCCGCTGGCCCTGAAGGGGGACGACGACGACGACGGCCGGAGACCTGCCCCCTGTGTGCATGGGTTTTGCAAACCGAGTTGCGGGTGGGTGGGTGGGATGATTGCGCAAGCAGTGGAGTTGAAACCTCACTGCGAGCATTGGTGAATTGCAACGCGTAGATTGCCCGACGTCAGTTGCGCCACATACATTGCCCCACATGAAATGCACAGCATAGGTTGTATAACACAAGCGTTCGATTGTCCTGCGTATGTTGCACAACATCGATTGCGCCACTCTTGCACGCCATGGCTTGTACCACATCGATTGCACTGCGTAACTTGCAACCGCATATGTTGTACCGTATGTTTAAATTTATAAATACTGCTTCGCGTATATTGTATCACAGGTATTGCGCAACATAAGTCGCACAACATGCATTGCATAACGTGTATTGCACATCGCGCGTATATGTATAGGTATATGTATACATGGGCGTGATTCATGTTTTTCCCAAACCATCCTGTGGTGTTGGGTCCTCGTTTTGAAGAGACGGTCCCCGCGTTCCTCCTTCCTTCCTCGCCCTCCTCCCCCTCCCCCCTCCTCCCTGCGTTTCACCCACCCAGTACAGCGTTTCGTGGCCCCATGGGGAGCTCCACCGAAGCCCCAAGTGCCACCGCCAGCATGCGTCCCGGAAACCCAAATTGGCATACCCCTCACACGCTTCGTGGCCTCATGGGGAGCTCCACCAAAGGCCCCAGTGCCACCGCCCGCACGCGTCCCGAAAACCCAATTTGGCACACCCCTCACCCGTTTCGTGGCCCCATCATAAGGAGCTCCACCGAAGGCCCGCTTGCATGCGTCCCGAAAACCCTTTTGGCACACCCCTCACACGTTTCGTGGCCCCAGAGGGAGCTCCACCGATGGCCCCAGTGCCACCGCCCGCATGTGTCCCGAAAACCCCACTTGGCACACCCCTCACCCGTTCCGTGACCCCACTGGGATCTCCACCGAAGCTCCCAGTGGGACCGCCCGCGTGCGTCCCGAAAGCCAAATTTGGCACACCCCTCACACGTTTCGTGGCTCCATAGGGAGCTCCACCGAAGGCCCCAGTGCCACCGACCGCATGCTTCCCGAAAACGAAATTTGACACACCACTCACACGTTTCGTGGCCCCATGGGAAGCTCGAGCGATGCCCCCAGTGCCACCGCCCGCATGCGTCCCCCACACCCATTTCGGCACACCACTCACACGTTTCGTGGCCCCATGGGGAGCTCCACCGGAGCTCCACCGAAGGTCCCAGTGCTACCGCCCGCATGCGTCCCCCCCACCCAGTACAGCGTCCCGTGGCCCCATAGGGAGCTCCACCGAAGCCCCCAGTGGGACCGCCCGCATGCGTTCCCCCCCACCCAGTACAGCGTTTCGTGGCCCCATAGGGAGCTCCACCGAAGCCCCCAGTGCCACCGCCAGCATGCGTCCCCCCCACCCCGTACAGCGTCTCGTGGCCCCATCGGGAGCTCCACCCAAGGCCCCAATGCCACCGCCCGCATGCGTCCC